TATATATATCTGTAATAATAATAATAACTTTGTTATTTTCAGCCCTAGACCACAACAAGCAGTTAACCCTTGCAGTGCATGGGGAAGCCCCACTAATGTTCTCTGAAGTTCTTCTTTAAGTTTTTGGTAGATACTGGAGAATTAAACCACCTTATTTCTCGAGAGATCTGTTTATTGGGGTCTTTGCGCTTAAATTACAAGGGGGCATTCTCACAGTTAGATTTTTGGTTTATTTTTATATTGTGGAGAATGTAAGAGGTGCAGAAACTCAGGTGTGCTGGAACACCAAAAAAACTCCCAGGAGGACAGGAACAGCAATGGGTACTATGTTGTACGTTCTTTTACAACTGTAAGTTATTTTACAGTTGTGAATGTCATCATGGAAATCTTTCAGAGGAAATCATTTGGCGATTCTGACAGTTTTGCTAACCAGATCTACAGGTGTAGTTTTACTGCTCTTCAAATATAAGGGTATTTGTACTGCTTGTGGAATGTATATATATATATTTTTTTATATATTTTTATTACGCTTCGATTTAACATATTTTATACAATGCATTTTATATAACAAATATTAAATACAAAACCCACAGATACATCATACAACAACCACTCCCATAAAATCTTACCAAATCTCCATCCCCTTTTTAGTCATTATGTATGATTAACTGCCTAAAGACTGCATGGCCTTTAAATACCACTCCTAACTATATTTCTGGAATGAAAGTGCCTGGGTGAGCATTTCAAGGGTTCCAATTCTGTCCACTTATACTTTGTGGTAATTGAAGTGCAGTGGCCTGTCAATTGAAAGGGTCATTAAAGATCCATAAAACCCAGAATAATCTCACACTGGTGATCAGTTTGGTGAACTTGGAATAACCCCGACCCAGCAGGGAGAACACAGGCTTTTAGGCACTATAGTGCTATCTTTGTTTTTTCTCTTTAGATCATGGTTGTGTATCAGTGCGGTATTGAGATTTGTTCTTCACAGGATGGAAGTGAATTGTTGTGTTAGATATGCAGGTGGTAGGGGTTTCCTCTCATTGATCTTACATTTGGGCTTCCGTTACTGAATAGATACATAGGGCTAAATTACATTGGCAATTTTTATCTTCTGCTGCAGTGTTTTAACCACTTGTTGGCATTGCTTCATTTACAATGCATTGATTTTGGCGTGCTGCAAATTATGTCATTGCCAACCAGAGATTTGATTGCTCGGAAGCAAAAAATATTGCACTATGTAGTTAGCCATATATTTAAAGAGGCAGTGACTATTTTAAAACTGTTACAAAATGCCACCCTGCAAACAGATACGTATATGTCCCCCTGGCCACTGCAATGGCAGTGTTCACTGTCTCAAAGGAGTTGAAAAATCACAGCATATACTACCCTTTTTAAAACATCAGTATCGTATTAGGAATACATATTATAGGTTTTTTTCTGATAATACAATAAAAGCTTACTGGAAAAAAATCCCTTTTATGTAGTGAGTGTTGCCCTCTGTCTGCCCATCACTTTCACCAGCTTCCTGGCTTCCCAGTATGCTTTGCATCGCTTTCGCTGCTGCTTGTTGTGATACAATCTTGATTTCTCAAAACCACATAGCCCAGAATACATTGCTTCCACCAAGCAATGATACTGATAAGCTGGCCATACACCTTACAATTATTTGCAGATTTTCTGTGGTCAGATGGAAAAGGCACAACAGATTCCTCCATCTACGCTTAACTGTGTGTATGGAGGAATCTCCACCTGGGCCAATCTGTTGCACTTTTTGCATCTGACCACAGAAAGTCTGCAGATAAGGTGTAAGGTGTGTGGGCACCTTTACTCTGATGTTGAGTAGTAGTTTTGAAGGCAGGCATATTTATTTTTTCAACATAGACAACATATAAACTCACACACATTGTTTATATTTCAGTCTGGCTGGCCAAAATGTGAGCAGTATGTGGCTCCATCGGTGCTCCCATATTCGACAGAGATCGATTTTTCAATTGACTTTTGTTGAAGGAGGCAGTCTGAAAATTCTCGGACCAACATTGACTGAAGCCAATGAGCTGCTTGCACAGTTGGGGTGTTCTGACAGCCGCTGCTGTCAGAATACAATAACTAATTG